GTAAAAGGCTATATAGTACACAACAGAGAAGACTCAGCGAATGGTGATGGGATACATGATATATCTACAAACATTTTCAAGGAAACAATATAAACAAAGATTATATATTCAGTCTTGGATGGTTGAGATAAGAGCAAGGCCCTGAATATTTGGGGGGAAAAAAGCTTAAAATACGCATTAGGAGAGCTCTCTACTAGTAAGAGCTGTTGGATAATGGAACTGATGAAGGACGATAGCAAAGATACCTTCACTGCAAATATTCCAGAACAGGTTATGTACAGTGTTAGTGTAAATATTGTAGTTGGCAGTCATGTAAAGCATTTGGGTCACCCCAGTAACTGTTGGGTGTTAGGAAGAAACTTCTCCAGCGGGCTGGGTATTTTATAGTTGTCCATTAATTAGCTTCCTGCACCGTTCCCTGAAGCCATGGTACTAACCTCTGAGAGGGGTTACTGAAATAGGTAGATCATTGGTCTGATCTGGTTTGGCAGTTCCTGTGTTCATTTCACAGTTAACTCAGCATTCATTTGACCATAAAGCTATTATAGAAAACTGCCCAGTGTTTCCCCAGACTAACCTTTTTTGATTAAAGTAGTGTTAACATCCATGTTTATATCAACTTGTGAATTCTCATGGTCCATTATTGTCGCTGCTGTAGCTTTGCCTTTATCAGCCTTTTTTATTCTGATTAAAAATGCTTCTGCTGCACTTTTTACTTAATGACTTATTGATCAGAACAATAAAACTAATTAGAAAATGAATTAACTTTCTTCTTTGCAAGTATGCCTAATTGTGATATACTGTACTTATTATAAAGCACCGATCAATATATTTACATTCATTATTACCCAATTAATTATAGTGCTTGGCAAACACATTAATAAATGTAAGTAAAATGACTTTGGTAACAGTGCCTATTCTACTTACTTTGTACTTATTTTGTATAATTAGGAATTAGATATTTGGTTACCTTTTATTCAGGACTTAAAGTATATTCACCTGCAAAAAAACCAAATAACTAGTATATCCATCCATTTTTTTAAATAACAGTTGATAGACATGCCTGGTCTGTTAAATATGTGTAATGAGGGATTTCACTCAATTTAATAAAATCACTTGAAATGATATGTCATAAGTGTTGTAAAGGTGTTCACTCTGTAATATGATAACCACCTGTTAAATAGAGAGCACTGACTGTGTTCTATAATGTCTCTTTAAACAGCCACCTGTTGTAATGATTTTGTTTCTGATATTTACATGGCAAGGATTTGTAAACCTGTTAATATAAGATTAAATTAGTCATGTGTTCACAGAAACGAATAGTAAAGAATCACTTTTATGGAAGTTTGGTTTACAGGCCTAAAAGTACAAGTTAAAATAAATTTTGAATAAATCTGAATTCTGTTTGCAGGCTCAGGTATTTTTTTTAATTACTCACAAGTATTTCATGCCTTATGATATCTCTTTATTTGCTGTTATCTTGCATACCGTGATATTAAATTGAAGTTGAAAGTCCACTTCTTTAACTTGACTGTCTGGGAGATAGGGCAATCTTGTTATTTTTAAAGTGAAAATACAAAATGTTGAATGGATTACAATTTTGGTACAATGAATTTGACTTGCTTGGCAAGCAGTAAAATCAAATCTTATGGTTGCTTGCTTTTGTTTCCGTAAGTTAGATCTAGATATCCAAGAGCTTACTCAGTTCCTGCTAGTAGGTCACTAAATTTTATAGTGTAAATGCCAAGGGTGCTGTAGGGCTTGCTTAACTATAGTGTAAAGGGTAATACCTATTAATCCATTCTGCACCACACATTTTAAAATGTGCAAATATAGCCAGTTGCAATTAAATGGTTCTAGTTTACAAACGTTGCCATGAGGTGTTTATCTTGTAAATACATAAATTATTCTAATTTTATTGTAACATGAGAAAACTCTGTACAAACTTTCTGTTATTTGTTGCATCTGTGCCAGTGACCAGTAAGAGCCCAAGTGTTTAGAAATCCATAAGCAGTAACACTCCAGACGAGGATCTTTGCACCTCTTGGTTGAAGTTACTGTGACAAGATTTGCTTTTCTAATGTCCCAGTGGTACAGCTCCCCCTGTGGTAGCAATGATTGAAGTACTAGTAGAGACATCCACTGGCCCTTTAGCTACCCTCTTATCAAACCTGCTCAAAAGAGATCTGGGTGTCCTGGTCGTTAAAATGGTGATGCTCACCAGTAGCCTGACTACAATAGTACTTCCATTATTACTTCTACCTAGTCTAGTGTAGACAAAGCCTTTACCTTCAGTTCAAATCTTTAAGGTTCATGCTAAGTATATATGAATATTGTATGGAATTGTGTCATATATTATGGCTGAAATCTTAAAAGCCCACTGAAAATGTTGGCAAGTAAGTGGGTTTGTCTGTTTTTCTAGTTATTGCATATTAACTATCAGGGGGTAGCCGTGTTAGTCTGTATCTACAAAAACAACAAGGAGTCTGGTGGCACCTTAAAGACTAACAGATTTATTTGGGCATAAGCTTTCGTGAGTTAAAACCTCCGATGTTGCATCCGAAGAAGTGAGGTTTTAACTCACGAAAGCTTATGCCCAAATAAATCTGTTAGTCTTTAAGGTGCCACCAGACTCCTTGTTGTTTTCATATTAACTATGTGGCAAGTTTTCCTTGGAGTTGAAGAAAAGCCTTTTGAAAGTTATTGCTTCGTTGGTTATCTGAACTGATACTTTTAACTATTCTTCCAGAGAAGTAACCTGTCAATGTAATTTTAAAAGGATCTTTGTAATAATTCTTTTTCTCACAACAACACAATTCTTTCCTCCACATCAACACACATCTGTTTGAAAGGAAGGACACATGACATGTAAACATCAGGAACAAATGTCCCTCAAAATCACATGAGACAATATACTTGATATGAGTACATTCAGATTTTAAAAAAGAGAGCCAGAGCAAACTGACCATAGAATCATAGAATATCAGGGTTGGAAGGGAACTCAGGAGGTCATCTGGTCCAACCCCCTGCTCAAAGCAGGACCAATTCCCAGCTAAATCATCCCAGCCAGGGCTTTATCAAGCCGGGCCTTAAAAACCTCCAAGGAAGGAGACTCCACCACCTCCCTAGGTAACGCATTCCAGTGTTTCACCACCCTACTAGTGAAAGTTTTTCCTAATATCCAACCTGGACCTCCCCCACTGCAACCTGAGACCATTACTCCTAAAACATTCTGGTCATGCACTAGAAACTGCTTTATCTAGCCTCTTGTTGAATGTTGTTTTTGACTGTTTTTCAATGACCTAGTATGGAGAGTAACTTTCTGATTACAAAATACAGGGTAAAATATTGACTGGTGTTTGAAAGAAGCGTTCCAGTGAGATTTAAAACAAACTATTTTAATTGTAAACAAACTGTACCATAGTGCATGCTAAAATATATTTACATTTATTACAGCTTGTTCAAATTTGTGTGTATTAGGTTTTTACATGTGAATTCAAACCTCTGAAGCATACCCTTGTTCCTTTACTGTGTGTTACTGTTATGTCTGTGTACATAAAAGCTTACTGTTTCAAACCCATGTGCATTGTTGAGTGATCAAAATGGTTTTGTTTTGAATTTTTGTTATAACTGACATTTTTAAAAAAACATGGGTTTGAACATACAAAATATACTAACCCTATCAGAAAAATTCTTAAGTTTCAGAAACTGCTTTTACTAGAAAACTTTAAATGTGTACATTGAGAAAAAATTATTTGTTAAAAGGCAATTCACATTTTAAATTGGGCTTCCTCAATAAAAGTGCAGTGTAAAAAATTGGAGATCAAAGTTGAATTATCTTCTGGCAACGATTTTTAAAGTGATTTCTGAAACTAGTTTGGAGGCCAATGTTTATACCTGCATGTTACAATGTGGATGAGACTCAAATTGGTTACGTGTTATGAATGCTTTACTCAAATACAGTTTCTTTTATGGATAACTTCAATTCCATATTTGGGTTTATAACACATTTGCTAATGCCTTCTATTGAACCATGCCGATATGCAAATTGATAATTTACAACGTTCAGTAAATCATAAAATACTGTAACTGGTTAATATTGATAATTTTCTGAAGACCTAGCACCAGGTGATTAAAACCTAATTATTAAAATCTCTATTATTAATTTAATATTAGTGTACCAAAGCCTAGTTTACGTCTTTTTATTATTTAAATACATAAAATAAGTAGCATTTACATAAATATAAGATCTAGACATCCCATAAAGTTTAAATGCACTTTACATCACAAGATGAAAGTAGTAAGCTAGCAACATTGCAGCAATTGAAAACATTAGCATTTTATAAAGTTGCTCCACCATTAGATTTGGATAATAATTATTGGGAATTAAAAACCCATGTGAAGGATATCTTTTGTGTTAACAAACTGTGGCACCTTTTCAGTATTCTTTTCATACTGGAGTATGACTGCAGTAACCAATACAAATGAAAGTATTAAACTTTAAGAACATATTTTGCACTAATAACCTCCAAATATTGTGTTAGTCTGAGGTAGTAAGACACTTGATTGTCAAATTAAAAAATAAGAAAATAAAGGCATCTTAAATAATTGTAAACACAAATACAAATCTATTTTAGGGAAGTGTCTGTTGTTTTTTAAATAATTTAAAGAAAATGGAATTGACTAACTTTTTTAAGACCACTTATATCAAAACCCTTGCTGGTCTACTTAATCAAAATTCTAAAATGAAATGATGAATTTTTAAAATCATGAAATGTTACATACATAACCTGTGAACACACAACATTCCTGTTAAGTAAATCTGATGAGAAATAAGGACCCAAAACAGCTCCCACTGTAATCAATAAAAACAAGCTCACGTTGATGTTGGCTTGGAGCCTAAATCACTATGGGTTGAATGTTTATCAGCAATTATTTTAAACAAGTGTGTGCTTAAGCTTGCTTTTTTTGTTTTTTGTTTGTTTTCCCCATTTTCTTAGATCTCTAGTGGAAGAGGAAGATCCTCACATGAAAGTATCTCTTGGTAGCAGCGATATGGGCGTGTCTGCCCATCTACAGTCTTCAAAGACAGGGACCACACGATTTTTCACCAGCAACACTCATAGTTCTGTGGTATTACAGGTAATCTAAAACAGTATATTGTAATATATATACCAGTTTGTTTTTGAAGATTTTCAAGGCTTTGAACCGTATCTGCACCTAAGAAAGATCTCAAACCTGGAAAAATGCTCCAAAGACCTTATTAAACAAAACATTTGTTTGTGTCATGTTGACAATGCCCTTGTTGAATAGACAGCATGGTTTTGTGTTCTTTATTTTCTCTCTGAGAACCCACGTCCTCTGTGAAAATCAGATTTTTTCAAGTTAAATGTTCAGATCACATCAACAATTTGAAAAACATGAGCTTTCTCTCTAATTATAGACTTGTTCACTGTTAACTTCGAACAGGTAAATAAGGCTTGCTAAAGTGAGGGACCACCGTCTCAAAGAAACTCACCTTTTTAATACAGTCAAGCAACTTTTTTAGGTGAATTTCCTCTTCTGGCCTTTTCTGAGTGAATGCTGTGTTAAAGATGTCGTAAGGAGGCTTAACTATTCCTCTCTTTGTGCCCCTAAAACATGTAGCAATTGGCAATTTCATTATTTGATCTATCCACATACCTGTGCTGGAGTCTGAATATTTTCCACAAACAATCTTAGCAGCCATCTGTAGTTTCTACATGGTTTAGAAGCCCGACTCCACAGTATGTGACCTACATATGAAATCGTTATTAAGACGCTTGCACTTTCTGCACGTAGAAAAACTGTTATATTGATGAGCTTCAGAGGATAATGTGCCAACTCTCACTTATTTTTTAATAAACATGCCACCTGTCTTTTACAGACCAACCATGAAATAGCCTTCAGTTTATCTTATCTGCCCTGTTCAGCGAGGGAAAGATTACCTTTGTTTAATTCACAGCTATCAAATTAAGCAAGTTTCATGTTTTTGCAGTGATAATATATATTATACATACAGTGGTACCTGATGCATAGAAGGAAGTAAATGGCTTTAATGTTAGTGTCATGGGTGTACACACTTCAAGAAAAGCACACAAACCCCCTGTTGATAACCTCATAACCATATATTAGCATATACTTGGTCCTTTGAGTTAATTCATGCAAACTCAAGTTGCATTAAAGTGGGTATGCAAACTGAAGAGGAAGAAAATGTTAGAGGGTGGTACTACTCTGAAAAGTGACTGTAAAAATGACACTTCCATCCCCTATGTTTATTCAGGATCATATCAGTTGACTTCAGTGACAAAAATAAAATTGTAGCACTTATTTCCATGAGCTCTACAGAGCTAAGGAGTTAGCCTCTGTTTCATCCTGCACATGTCAGATTTGGTTAGTATATCTTAACCTATTCATCTGGGCAGTCACTTAGAAGGAAATAAGTAACTGTGTAAATGAAGGTGCATAGGTATAAATGGAGACCTAATATGAAGTACAGAACTTTTATCACTAGTGGTGATGCACAAAATGGAGAGAACTCAGCTGCAGGGCCTAGCAGGCAGGGGAAAACATATTTTTACTTATAAACTGGGCACATGTGAAATGGAAAAAATGAGACAAACTTGGAATTCCATAGTGCTGTTTTTGAAGCATAAGTTTTCAAAGCAGAACTGCACTTTAAACATTCACCCTTGTGGTTTTCTCATCCTATTGTATGTAGGTGTTTCAGTCTTATTTTTGATCTGAGACCTTCCACTTGCCCAGCAAAACAGCATCATTGAGCTTTAGCATTCACTTTGAATTTTCTCACGTGTCTTTTCCATTTTAATTAAAGTGAATTAAAGTGGTGGCCTCACCTTGTCAGTTTCCTATACTTTCTATCTAAAGCAAACAGACCTTGAAATGTAAGATTATTTTATTACAAATATTTGTTTGCTTATGTAAACCAGTTGGCACATTTACCCTTAAACTTGCTAATTGCTTTATAGAACTATACAAGTACTTGCAATAAGATAACCTCCCATCGCTGTTCCAAGATTTTTTTATTTAAAAAATCCCCAGAATTATTAAACCTGAAAAAGAAGAGAGTAGAGTAGTTATAGACTTCATTGGTTTCAAAAGCCTGTTGATAACTATAGCTCAACATATATAACTTGAAAAATGTTCTCATTACCAGCAGATTTCTGTTTATACCCCTGCAGCACAGAGACATAGCTACAGATAAGAGAATTACACCCCAATTGTTCCAGCCATTGGAATGAGGGGCTTTGAGTCCTAGAACCACTTGGGGTCAGTGAGACTGGGAGTTCCAAGCAACAAAGGGTCCTGTGGCACCTTTAAGACCAACAGAAGTATTGGAGCATAAGCTTTCGTGGGTGAATGCCCACTTCATCAGACGCAAGTAATGGAAATTTCCAGAGGCAGGTATAAATCGGTATGGAGATAACTAGGTTAATTCAATCAGGGAGGGTGAGGTGCTCTGCTAGCAGTTGAGGAGTGAACACCAAGGGAGGAGATCGTCTACAGCCAAGCGCTAAGGTACAACCACATCTGCTCCAACCCCTCAGACAGAGACCAACACCTACAAGATCTTCACCAAGCATTCTCAAAACTACAATAGCCACACAAGGAAATAAAGAAACAAATCAACAGAGCCAGACATGTACCCAGAAGCCTCCTATTACAAGACAGACCCAAAAAAGAAACCAACAGAACTCCACTGGCCATCACCTACAGTCCTCAGCTTAAACCTCTCCAGCGCATCATCAGTGATCTACAACGCATCCTGGACAATGATCCCTCACTTTCACAGACCTTGGGAGGCAGGCCAGTCCTCGCCAACACAGACAACCCACCAACCTTAAGCATATTCTCACCAGCAACCACGCATCACACCATAACAACTCTAACTCAGGAACCAACCCATGCAACAAACCTCGATGCCAACTCTGCCCACATATCTACACCAGCAACACCATCACAGGACCTAACCAGATCAGCTACATCATCACCGGCTCATTCACTTGCACGTCCACCAATGTTATATATGCCATCATGTGCCAGCAATGCCCCTCTGCTATGTACATTGGCCAAACTGGACAGTCACTACGCAAGAGGATAAATGGACAGAAGTCAGATATCAGGAATGGCAATATACAAAAACCTGTAGGAGAACACTTCAACCTCCCTGGCCACACAATAGCATATGTAAAGGTAGCCATCTTACAGCAAAAAATACTTCAGGACCAGATTCCAAAGAGAAACTGCTGAGCTCCAGTTCATTTGCAAATTTGACACCATCAGATCAGGATTAAACAAAGACTGTGAATGGCTATCCAATTGCAGAAGCAGTTTCTCCTCCCTTGGTGTTCACACCTCAACTGCTAGCAGAGCACCTCACCCTCCCTGACTGAACTAACCTCGTTATCTCCATACTGATTTATACCTGCCTCTGGAAATTTTCATTACTTGCATCTGATGAAGTGGGCATTCACCCACGAAAGCTTATGCTCCAATACTTCTGTTAGTCTTAAAGGTGTCACAGGACCCTCTGTTGCTTTTTACAGATTCAGACTAACACGGCTATCCCTCTGATACTTGGGAGTTCCAAGTTACTGCATGAGAGAGCTAGCAGTGCCAGAGGTGTATGTTTGAATGAGTCAGATGCTATCATTAAGAGAGCTGAGGTATTCTAAAACCTACTAGAGAAGGGGTAAAATGTGCCCTGAATTGCCACTAGCTCCATCTGCAAGATGGTCTTTCACCTCCACCCTCTGCCCTACCCCACAAAGGTTGATGAAAGACCCATCCCATTCAAAACCCTATTTCTTTTCCTTGTTACAATAGCTGTGACATCACTCACCAGAGAAACTAGGAAGCCTTTAGCTCTCACTTTTTAGGATATGAGTACAGTATTTTCATATAGTTCTCTAACAACATTTTGAAACACTTTGAGCCATTTTTTCTTTGTTCAGAATATTACAAGTTTGTAATATATACAAAACCTGCGCAGATACTAATTTTTAAGCAGAGGAACATTTTTTAATTTGATCAGTTTTTCTCTACAGTTATTATTAGTCAGAAGTAAAGTTTATAGATCTACTAAAAGGTGCAGATGGATTAAACAAAATGTATCTGTTGAGCAACTCCTGGTATATTCTCTGTTGCATCTATTTCCATGAGGGGAAATTGTCTGTCTGGTTGGAGCTTTGTATTCTGCTGGTGATAATTTTCTAAAAATGGTCTTCTGGCCCACACTGAACTAAGTGCTCTTTTTCTGTTGGAGCAACCAAACTAAGGCACTCTGGGATACTGTCACATGGTGTTGCTCTCTTCTGGCAGCTAAAAATGTAATCCTCTCACACAAGCTCACGAAGCTTTAAAACGTTATAAACTTCAGAAAGAAGTTCCTTTGTGTTCTAGTTTCTGCTTGAATCGTGTAGGCATCACTAGAATTCTTCTATATCCTATGGATTCAAGCCTACAACCCATACAATCCTTTGCTATCTCCTACTAGAACTTTACACAGAAGTGCTGTGTGTTTTCTTGTATAGGGTGAGGATTCCCTAAAGAATTACGACTTACTTTAGGACTTGCTACCAATACAGCTTAAATGGATCACAATGGGTTTTCAGACAAAAACAAGGCAGAGCTTTTTTTTCTTATTTTAGTTTTGAAAGCACCAGTAGTGTCTCAGTTTCAAACTCCTGGGCCTCTGCTTGGTATTCTTTCATCTTCAAATCTTAGGACAGGTCAAACTTTTCTAATTTTTTCCTCAGGTACCCACAGTGTTTATAGTGCTCCTCTTACCTCGCTGGGAACGATCACTAAGTCTCTTTTTCTGTATGATTGGAAATGGCCTCTCTATGGAGCCTTTACAAAGCTGGAGTTAACTTTCTGGAAAGATTTCCCTCAAGGCAGAAGCCAGGTTACTGTATGGGTAAATTGATCACCATCCCACAGGATAGTATATGCTCAGGCTACAAGGATCCCCATGTATAGACAGTAGATTCTGTGCTTAAAGGGGCTTTCACAGAACCAAAAAAATTGGTGGCAGGTTGCTGTCTGTTCAGTTCATAGTTTATTAGAAAGTGACTCCAGTCATCAGTACTGCAGCAGAGAGATTTTTGCTTCAGCTTTCAGCATGGCAGCTAGTATAGCAGCAAATACCACTGGCAAATAGACGTATTGAACACAGCTCATTGCCTTCAGATTCCAATTGCAAAAGAATGATTTTTCTGCAAAGTCTTAATACCTATTCTTGCAATATACATTGGAGAACTAGTAGGGTGCCTCCTTTTTTTGCAAGGACTAGTTTCAGAAGGCCTGGTAAAAATGCGCCAGTTGAAGGTCATTTGATTACTGAAATGCTTCATTCTGGTACTTGGCTAAAAAGTAATAGATGGATTATTTTATATAATTGTATTAGAGCCTTGTCAAAATGCTATGTCATTGTCAAAAAATTAAACTCCAAAATATTTTGTCCTGTCCTTGGATCACACTCTGGTTTGCCTGGATATGATGGGAAGGACAGCAGAGAAAGCAGGAAGACTCCCATATTTCCATACAACCCAAAGGCTCAATATAGAGAAATTCACTGCTCTCTTAGGATATGTCCACACTACAATTTAAAACCCTGTGGCTGGCCCATGCCTGCTGGCTCGGGCTGCAGTGTATATGCCTGGGCTTGGGCTGGAGCCCAAGCTCCAGGACTGTGCAAGGTGGGAGGGTCCCAGAGCTCAGGCTGCAGCCTGAGCCAGAATGTTTACACCGCAATTAAACGGCCCCGTAGACCGAGCCCCACGAGCAGAGTCATTTGGCACAGGTCAGCCGTGGGTGTCTTCCTGCAGTGGTAATCAGGTTTGCAGGGCACTGACTAGCCACTTTGGTTATGATTGTAGCTGTAAATTTTGGTTCAAAGCAAGAGGTTGTCTTCATATCTTGGGTTATCGAATATCTGAGCTGGGTTCAGAACAGGGCTCTGTCAATATGTTGAATGTTAGAAGAACGTTATGAAGGATTACACTGAATTTAACTATGCCCATATTTATGCTTTCCTCTGGTTCTTTTCTGTATTCCCATTGCGTTCTTTCTTTAGGACAAATCTGAGTTTTCATCTCTGTATTTATGTTCACCACAGCTTTAAAGTCCTGGCTTCTTTTTTAATAAAAATAATAAATAAATTCTGGAATTTGGAGCGGAGACTCTCAAATGTTATCTGTAAGGCTATTTGCATCCTTTCCCTCCCCCAACGAACTTCGACCTTATCAGTATTGATGGGTTAGGTGACATATGACTAATGAAATTGATCTAAGTCCTTCCCACATTCTTGTAATGCATGAAAGGGGCCATTATTTTTATTGATCTTTAAATATTCCCGAAATTGACTTTTTCCTCTCTATGCAAACCTTTCTTTTAAGGTGCCATTGTTATCTGAGACCCAGGTAGTTGTAGTTTGCCCCCCACAGACTTCTCTGGAGAAGCAAACGACATGAGAAATACTAATACAACATGAGCCTTCTGGGAGGTTTTACATAGTTAAAATTGGTAATAAAATTGACAAAAGTTGTAGTTAAGTGACACCCTTCCTTTAAGTCCCAATATCATTCAACCTTCCAGGTTGCAGAGTACTTTGAAGGAGTAGTATGGAACTTAAATGTGTCCTGCACATGTTAAATTTTTCTGAGAAGTGATGCTGATCCAAATGGGCAAATGTCAATTCCTACTTGAAACCATTTACATCTGGAGAATAAGTGGACAAAAAACATGCCCTTTCTGAACAAATCTATCTTTGTTTTATGATTAAGAACATGTGAGTCAGACTGTACTTTGCACTCCGTAGTCACTCATGGAGACTAATTGAATTGCTCTATTTGATTTAAGTTTTTGAATGATTTGATTATACTTTAAAGTCTGAGCCTGTGATGGTTATAGTATGGAAGATCACTACTCAGACTTCAGTTTCAAGCAATTGTCCAAGAGTGTAGACAATCTTAAAGTAAATAAATAACTTCCCTTAAAAAAATCCAAACAAACTTTTACTTTCCGCTTCAGATGACTGAGCAGTTCAAGTTGTGATCTTGTTTTAGGGTTTTGACCAGCTGCGAATAGAAGGTTTACTTTGCGATGTGACGCTAGTGCCAGGCGATGGTGATGAAGTATTTCCCGTTCACCGAGCTATGATGGCATCAGCTAGTGATTACTTCAAGGCCATGTTCACAGGTAGTGCTTTTGTTTCTGTAATAAATTTGGACTCTTGAGCTGTTTTAAACGTGTCTCCTGTGTCAGATACACTAATAAATGTCTAATATACATACTAGAGCAAACACTTTCTTCCGCATATGGTTACTATCATCATCATAAAAAATCAAAATCTTTTCATTTAATTGAAATTAAAGTTCAAATGAATTAAATTAGCTTTTTAATTGCGTAAGAATACGTATCTTATTAGAGTGAACTCTTTCAAATGTAATTGAAGAACTCATTTTAATTTATCTAATTTCTTACTTAGGTGGAATGAAGGAACAAGATTTAATGTGCATTAAGCTTCATGGTGTGAACAAAATAGGTCTGAAGAAGATTATTGATTTCATTTACACTGCAAAACTTTCTCTTAACATGGACAACCTTCAGGACACTCTAGAAGCAGCCAGTTTTTTGCAGATTTTACCTGTTTTGGACTTCTGTAAAGTGTTTCTGATCTCTGGGGTAAGGTATTTTGATTTGACATTAGTTTCATGTTCTGACTTTTTTTAAAAAAGCACAGTGATTGTGTAATATCCATAGGCGAGGATTTAAGCATAAGACTGGATAACTTGGATTCACATACAGTAAGTTCCTCTAGCTTCAAAGGAACCATAAAATTGAATCTTATTTACTGTACCAATCACACTAAGCTTGTGATTTAAATATCATGGCACATTGTAACAAGGTCTTACATTTTTTAATTTCTAATTTTACTGAATGAACTAGAAAATTATATTCCAGTAAACAATAATCATCATTCATTAGTTGGTTACTGGATTTCTCTCACTGATGCTCATTTTTTATAACATACTATAAGAAAGTTACTAGGTGAATTAATAGTAACATAATTAATTGTACAATAATGACTATTTGCCATATTCTTTTTATACTTACATGTTTTGTATATAACATTTTCTTATGGGGGATATGAAGCACATAATTACAGTGGTTGTCACTGAAATCTTTACAGTGTTATCTTTGAGTTGAGGTTAGAATAATGTTCTTTAAACAAAGTGCAGAATACCCGAATACAAGGAATATGTAGGGGATGCTACAGTAATGTTAGTTACGTGAGAAGGTAATTATAAGGATTTTAATGGTGACCATTGTATATTTCTGCAGTACACTAAAAGAAAAAACTTTTACCTTGAATATATACTTAAGTATTTCACCACAATGACTTCAATAATAGGTTTTGTAAGGGACAGAACTCAGTGAGTTAATAGTCTGTTCTCTGCCCATTAACTAATCAGAGGATCATTTTTATAGTTTTTTTTAATATAAAATGTAGACCATATATATGCTCTGTAGATGTAGCGCTTAGCAAAGTTATCCCACTGCTCTCATTTGGTTGAACAGTTTTTTTAAAATAAAATCACAGTATCACAAGATGGGGGAGATCTGTACAAGTATACACAATAATAGATCTGGAGAGACTTAACTTCTGAATCTCTGGAGGTTTTCCCATCACTTAGTTGTGACCTGAAAGAGAGCGTAAAAGGGTTTATCTGCACTAGGAGTGTAAGTGGTGTTTTTACAATAATTGAAAAACTCACACATTTTACAGCACTACTTAGTGCCCAGTGTACATAGACAGACAGGAGCATTTAAAACCCAAGGAGTGGGAAGGATACTAGAATTGACCATGACAAGTGACCACAGTTTTAAACACTTTTCTTCAGTGTAGCAATATGTCTACAGGTGGAAAAATGAGGTGTCTTGGAAAATCCATTGGTCATGTCCACACTAGGAAAAAAAAATGGTTTTTAACTCTTGTTAGCTCACACATTAACGTGTGTAAAACCCCAAAGTGGATAAAACAAGTTGTAACTTTAACACTCAGCTGGTCAAGATGGAGCCTATGTTCCCTACTAGGGCGTTACCTCAACGAATGTGTTAAAACTGTAACTTGTCTATGCTAGGATTTTACCCTGTTACCTAACATGTTAAGAACAAATCTCTTTTCCTAGTAAATGAGAGACCATTGAAAGCAAAGGGACTGAAGCGGACATTTCTTTGTCTGTTGAGATCACTTTAATTGCAATCAGCAAGTTCCTCAGGCTGGCAAGCTTCTGGCTTATAAGAAAGGAGGCTGCAGGCAAAATGCCCTCTGTGAGGGATTCTTACCTCTGGAACTTACTTCCCCATCCTTGACTCAGCAGTGTATGGACTTCTTATTTAAATTATTATTTGTTAAATAATTCCCTGCCAGAACTCTCAAGACATCTCTTATACAAGAGGAGTTGAATGAGGGAGTTGGGTTGATAGTTTGGGAGTCTTATTTTTTGTATGGTGGACAAGATATTCTGAGTATATTATTTTGCATTTTACTACATTTAGATAGGTAATACTACAAAGGCAAAGGCTGACTTCCACAGGTTCCTTCAGAGTGCTTCTCAATAGTTGCCAACTTCTGAAAAATTAGCTCTTCACAAGACTGACAGAAATATGATATAGGGAAATCTAGCTAGAATAATTGATCATATAATTAGGTTGTAGTAAATTCAGTAAAATAAGCAAGCAATTTAAATGAACATCTTTTTTTGTGTGCAGCTATAGGGCATGGTAGTGCAAATTTTGACTGTGTATTAGATAAAGTGGTCATGTAGATAAATTCATCAGAATTAGATTTAAGTCTGTCTTCTAAGGCATGACATGGTGTCAGTGTTGCAAGTGTGATTTCCTCAAGTGACTGGTAACCAAAGGAAGGTGGATTTTTTTGGAGATAAGCAGTCAGTGCATTTGTGAACGAGAGTCCGTTGTTATTGTTTTACAAAAGGGTTAAGCATGTGCACTTGAGTTTTAACCATATATTTGAGAGTTGTCGGATTCATTTGGTTTTTTTCATATTTCAGTGTTATCCGTTTTAAATATGTAAGGAAAGCCCCTAGCAGAACTACCAATACAATGTTCTGCAAAAGCGTATTGAAATAGTAGAGGCCTCTCATCCATGATGTCTGTTAGTGAGGACTGTGGAAAACATTTTGTTACTCAGGAATCTTGAAAACCGAATGCTAATTTGGAATCCAATCCCCACCTGTTCCATAGATGTTCATTACCTGCCATCAGGATTTATAAGCATATACTCCATATCATGCATCAGATACTGCTTTCAGTTACTTGCTAAGCGTTCAGTTTTGCTGAAAGATACTAGTATCTCAATCTATCCTTTGGCTTGTGATAACAGACACATTTTTGACAAACATTTGCTAGTGGAATTTAGACACAAGAAGCTGATTAACTCTGACTTTAGAGTGTGTTTTTTCTTCTACATGAATATGAGAACATACAGATTTTCTGTTAAGGCCCCATCTACCTGGAGCTTGTAACTATGTTTGAAGCCATTTTCAAGCACTGTTCTAGCATAACTCTTTGTCAGCATTGAACATGTTACTGAATGTGGTACAAACCATGCTACTAATTGCAATATAACCTACGGTGGTTCATGGTTGTTCCATAGTGTGAACTGGGAAATCAGTTAGTATATCAACCTTGATCTCTGAAGCTGGGGAGGAGCGCCAATGGGGAGAAGGGCAGGGGGGGCGGGGTTCAGGTCAGTCCTCCTTTCTGTCCTTACCCTCTCTCCCAGGGATAGCCAGCCTTAGTAGAGGACTCTCATTTTGCCTTCAGGCAAGAAGGGAGGACTCACCCATCCTTCAAATGAAGGAGACATTGCAAAAGTGGGGAGATTCCTTTGACCTCTCCCCTCACCTTGCATCTTGCTCTTTCCTCACCCTGGCTTCGACCTCCTCCTCCTGTAGTATGGATGGTGACAGCCTGGTGGCCTTTTCCCTTTTCTTCCTGTCCTCCCCGCTTTGCCTTCAGGAATGGCTGGCTGGCCTGCTCTCTGTTCAAAAAAATATTGAACCAATCTGGCCAGTTCTGGCCAAATAAATTGGGGCAACTGATAATTCCTGCAAATACAGTTAAACAAGAAGAACACTGCCCTGTGAAAGGGAGATTTGACGTCTTCTCTGGGAGGACAGGCTATTGCATAATCTACTCTTACTAGGAACTTTTTCTTGCAAAAAAACCTTCCCTTTCTCAGCTTCTTTCCATTGCTTTTGGAATGATTTCTTCTTGAACCTCTTACGACGTTTTTTGATCTCAGTATGAATTGCCTGTTTACATTTCTAGAAAGTTATTCTAAAAACTGTAGTAAGGTAGGAGAGTGTTATGTAGGATGTTGAGCACTTTATACTCTTATCTCTGAATTACTAAAATTGGTGGCTGGAGTAATAAAAATCCAATAAAAAGTTTTCTCGAGTTGAGGGGTGTCACTCTATTTATTACACAGTCTTACCACGACTTAAGCAAGCAAGAAAACTCAATGTTGTGAGAAGGAAGTATTTTTTCTGCAAATAAAATACTAAAGAAAAGCAGGCAATTAAACAATTTTAGTTCACTTACAATCTTGGCATATCTTATTCACCAACTTGCTTAAAGAATTTGAGATAGGCAGATTACTGAAAAATTAAACATTTTAAATTAAATCCAACATCATCTGTTTACCTCAGCCAATTTATCTCCTCTCCAAGAATATGCTGTCCAACTCATGCTTGAACAAAGAAGCTATTAATAAACCTTAAATTGCAATAAGATTTCAATGTATAGTTAAATCAATGTCAGAAATAAAGTTGGCCTAATTCTTGCCAATGCTTATGCAGAGTTTCTCTCTAGCAGAAACTTGAATTTTAGTGGTGGCATGTTCTTCCAGTGTAATGCCGAAGAGCTTTTGCACTCCTCTGGTCCTTGCTTTGTTTGTGTTTCACTGTGTTCTGTGAACTCTCCTTTTGAATACTGCATCGGGCCGTTCATCATACTTTCTTAGGGAAAAGGCTGGTTTTGTTGATTCTAAATAGGATCAATTTAAAGGAATTTTTTTTATCCCCTTTCTCATAGATTTTACTGAAGGTGGAGAACACATCTCTCATGGGTTTGGTTAGATTCTGGGATCAGTGTTTCAAGTTTTTTTTATGGGTTCCTCCTGTTTTTGGATGGGCTCAATACTGTGCTAAAGCATTTGTAGTAAAAGTTTTACACTGTTGTCTTCTATGGTGTGCTTTCTGGCCAAGATGGGTCTGAGAAACTTTTGAAGTTGTGCTTTTATTCACTCTATTTTCAGAAATATTTTTATTCCAAAAACATCTTGGGGTACTTTCATAAATTCTAAGGCCAGAAGGGGACCACAGTGGCTGGGTGAGTTCGGAGCTCTGATGGTGCATCTGCCTTTCTCTATATTTCACAGAGACACGGTCTCATTGTGCTTATAACTTAAATTCAGCCTCCAAGTAGTTTGAGTTTCACCTGAACCAGCCAATTCACTTATCTATGTTCTTTCCAAAGCCACACGCATCTACAGAAGAGATCAGGCTTCATTCCTTGACGCGCAGTGAGCATTAGCTTTGTATTTGAAAAGAACAAAACCATTCAAATAATCTCCCAGAGTTGTCATAGCAGAA